TTCTGCACCCCTGTCCCGTATTGATTGATTGGCGCTCCGAAATTTTTAAATTACGTCTCGTCTCGGCCTCCTCGTTCCTTATTTTCGGCCTCTATGGCGGCGGCGTCTCGAGTATTTGATCGAAATCGTATCTCTTTCATAACAGTATTTATGTGTATACCAACAGCTATATATCGCTCATCGCAATTAAAGCCAATGATCCGAGTTCCTACGCGTACTTTATTAATAAATCGTTTAAAATTTCGACAATTTCTGCAACGTAATTGCATGATAAACATCGCGAATTTTTTTTCAAATCGGGAGACGAAATTGACTTCTAATGACACGGCAACATGCGAAATATAATTAAAAATAGAATTAAAATGTAATAATCATATATCTTGATTGCAATGGATATTATATTAGTACCTGATAGAGCAGTTAATCTTCGATCTTATACAGGACTGATAATAAAAAACTTTCCAAGAATTTTGTTCGGGGTACAAATGCAGTTTTTGGCGGCTATTTTTCATATTTGAGTTCATATCATGTTATTTCATCCGGTATAAGCATAACACAATTTTTACAACTGAATAGCGTAATAATTATGATAATTAAGCCCTAACTTACATATATTACTTTCAATGCTATACGACCCGATTTGTTCCATAGCAATTATTTCATTATAAATAATTATGTTTCGAAATGATCCAAGGAACGATTTTGATAGTTATTTCCATACATGATATTAGAATCATACGTCTTCTAGAAGTACACGAACTATATAATTATTTTTGTTTATGAGCTTAAGACGTTAGTACTTAATTTCCAGTTCTTCGGACCGTGATTAAATATGTTGAATTTGTCATTAGAAAAGTTGGAAACGGGCTGATGAACCTGGCTTACGCTTGATAACAGATAAATAATAATTTAAAAATATGCTACTTTTATTACTACAAGTGTGTTAAAAATATTTCTTTCTCAATACAATATATATTAACTAAAAATAAGAATTTTCAATTGATTGAAAATGATTTTGAAAAGAGCTC